AATATTGAAAATATAGATTACTATAATTCTTAGATGGTGCCTAGAGTTAAAAGATATTTATGGGTAGTTTCATGCTTTCACATGCTTTTAATAATTGGGATAAAAGCTATGACAACATTTTGTTATAAATAAAATTTATCTATAGTATTGTTAATACTTTTGCTCTTTGAAAAAAAATGTTTCTGGCTTTTCAATAAATATATAATAATTTGTTATTTGTTTGTTTCTAAATTTTTTTTATTAGAAACAAAATAAATGTTTTTTTAAGACAAAACTTTTTTTAAGACAAAAATATGGTTTTTTTAAGACAAAACTTTTTTTGTCTTAAAAAAACCATATTAGCAAAGTCTTTGCTAATATTGTTGCAGGTTTTTCTTAACTTTTACTAAATAAACTTAAGAAACCTGTATTACTTTTGATGATGGCAAATTAATTTTATTTTGCATTTATTTGGTTTTTTTATATATATTTGTTTTGAGAATTTTTTTTTTTAATTTTTGGAGTAAGATTTTTTAGTTATTTATAAAGTTTTTTTATTTTATTGTTAATTTTAGAGTTGTAAAAAAAAAAGAAATAATTAGTGTTGTTTTGATAAATATGTTTAATGAAAATGATGACATTGAAATGGATGATACACTTGATGAAGTTATGGATTTACAAGACGATGTAAGTGCTATAAGGCGTGTTGAAAATAATCGTAGATGAAATTTACAAAATGAAAGAAATAGGTTTAATCAAGATGAAGTTAATTGTCGCCAAAATGAAAGAAATAGGTCTCATTGAGATAATTTTAATCGTCGCCAAAACAAAAGAAATATGTTTTCTATGTTTTTTTCACATTTTCTGTTTCCATAATGGTAAGGTAGTTTTGCCTCCACTTTTATTATTTACACAAGCTTTACAGGATTTATTTACAGGGAGTTATGAAATAGATTATTTTGGCCATATTATAAAAATCCGGAAATTTTTTTTCCTTCAATATCTGGAAAAAATCTGGAAAATGTTTTTAAGGAAGGAGGGGCGTGCTCTCCTCCATTCTTTTATAATACTATAATATTATGCCAATTTAAAAGTATCCTTATTCACCATATATATGAATAAAAAACTACATAGTAATAATTTTTTCATTAAAAAAGAATAACAATAATAAACTTTCAACAACAATAATAATAAGAAGAAGATGAAGTCAAAGAAGAAGTAGAAAACTATATTTAAAAGCTGTTATACGGAAACTTTTTTAGACATGAACTTATACATTTAAATACACAATGGATAATGAAATATTGCTTTAACACACCAAAGATATACAAATGGATAAACATTTAACGCGTTGTTACAGATCAGAGGCGCCACCATAACTGAAATCCCATGGGCGTTATTTATTTTAGCGTTTTGGCTTTTTTGTAGTAATTTTACATAATAAACCGACATATCTAACATTTTTGCTTGCTAACTTCTTTCAGTAAACATTTTATTACCTGTAAAATACCAACTTTTGGAAAATATAAATGAATTTTATTTTAACTATTTTCGGAGCATACTTCAATCGCAGTAAAAAAAAAAGGAAATAATAATAATTATAAAACACCAGACTTCTAAAATACAAAAAATAAGAAATCTTTGGTAATAAATATGTTAAAAAAGAAAATAAATAAATAAAAAGTAAAAAGATATTGAATTGTTTTTCTGTAATCAGTTAGTTTTCTACAATTAGTTCTTCCACTCAGTGCTGAAAATGTTTTAAACCTAATTTACAATACAACGACTTCTTCTTTTATAAAAAAATCTCCAAGTTCAAAAATTAAAAAAGTTTAAACATTCGTTAGATAAAGTTTAAATAAAATTTTAAATTTATTTTAACTATGATAAACAAAAGGTGAGGCATTATTAATGATTCACGTGCTCATTCATGTGATTCAAAATTTTAAAAAATGATTTTTTTTAATTGAAAGAAAATATAATTAATTTTGACACGCACTTTTTGAATTGAAAAGAAAATGTGCCTTAAAATGCGATGTTTTTAAAAACCTAATAATGGCACTTAAAAGCAATTTGATTCACTTGATCTTTAGTCGAAGTACATATGTTTAGAATCCTTTAAAATAATTACATAGAATAAAATCCTTCTAGCTTAGAATATAGTTTTATTATATAACACTTATTTGTTTGTAATAACTTATTACTAATAAAGTATTTAATCTTAGTCAGTAATAATAAGTTTTTTTATAAGTTTTTTTCACCCTTTACGATAACAAGTTGTACCGCACGACCACAATGTTACACCACGATATTACAGTAACTGTAAGATCAATAGAAGTTTCTACTAGTTAAAGGTCATACCAAATTTCTCATTCTTAGATTGAACTATACATTGTTTCACTGCACTCTAGAATTAGAATTTAATAATAAAATAAAAAAAAGATAACTCCTGTATGTAGACCGTAATGTTAATTTCAATTTTTCAAAACATATTCAAAATTATAATGCCTGTCTTTCTTTCACTTTTTTTAAAGCAGATGTAGTTCAACCAATAAATCATGGGCCTCCATGTTTTAAAATATGTGGCCAGATTTATCATTGTGTAGGTAATCTTGGGCCAGATCAAGATATTACACCAATATATTCTTAACTCTATATTTATGATCCCCTTGCAGCAGTAAAATTTATAATGCAACAACGTGGTAATGATCTTTGTTTAAGTGATTTAATGTTTCAATTGCAAACTATAATTACGGAACAAAGTCTATTTGCTCTCACATTTAAGAGCATAACTGAAGTAGAAGATGAAGAAATTCGTCAAGCGGCTCTAGAAGGTCGCTCAGCTTCTGTTGTAAAAATGTCTTTACTTGAAGGGGGTGAAAGACATCACAATAATCTACCTTCACATGATGAAGCTGCAGTTGTATTTGTTGGCGAAGATGGTGCTCCCCCAACTTCCAGGAAAGTTGTTATTTACCCAAGAGGTCATTCTTTAAAAATTGTATCAAGTATGTCAGGCAACTTGGATTCTATGGTTTATCCTCTCTTTTATCCAAGAGGTGATGCTGGTTGGCATAATCAGTTAATGCATAACCCTGAACATGCTACACTGGTTAGAAATCATGTTACATTACATCTCAGTTCTACAACTATAGACTTTCTGTTAGACAATTTTTCTGCTCATTATTTTATCGCAAGAAACTATTTCAGCAATATGCAGTAGATATGTATGTCAAAATTGAAGGCCAGTGTCTTGCTTTTATCAGAAATAATCAAAATAAGTTGAGAAGCGAGCAGTATGATCCCTTACATGAACATGTTAACAACATTGCCAGCGATAGTAATTTTAGAGGGTGAGGTGTTTTGCCATCATCTTATGTAGGATGTCCTAGAACTTTAAAAGAAAACTTTGAAGATGCTATGGCAATTATTAAAAAGTATGGTAAACCAGATCTTTTTATTACTTTTACTTGCAACGCAAAATGGCATAATTTTATAATTTTTATTATATTTGTAATTTTAGATTTGTTAACACGGACAAGAGCTGGTGCATCATGACAACAATTGAAGTATCACAACAGTTTACCGCAAGCAGGTGAATTGTTTTCCAGTTATTTTTTTCTACTTATCTGTTACAATTTTTATTTTAGGTTTGTCATAGGGCGCACTAATGCAATATAAAAAGATCAAAGTTTATATAATTTTTTAAATTTGTTACACACATGTTTAATTGTAAATTAAAATTTTGTTTGAAACGTATTTGTACTCAGTTTGCTTAGTCATTTATAATAAACTTAGTTATTTAATAGTTTATAAATTTATTTAGTTGTGTCCATCTAACGTTTTTAAGATAACAATTTTCTTTTCTAAAGAAAAATTAATCAAGAGGGTACAGAAAAATTGATAACTCCTGTATAATATAAGTTAACTTCATCTTAATCTTAATAATTAATTAAAGTTCATGCTATAAAAATTATTACAAGGATTTAGTTGATATTTTTTTCAATTTGAAGCATGATGAAGTGTTATTATTTTGTGCCAGTAACTAAAAACGTGTTGTGTTGAACTTAGGAATGTCGAGGAAAATGGTTCTGCCTTACACTGTTATGACCTATGTCAGTTGTAAATTATTTAATGTTAAGTAATATTTGGTAAATTATTTCACCTCCTCATAATTTTATGTTAATTTTACAGATGGATTTATTTTTTCAATTTGAACACGTTTTTCTAAAAGGGTATTAGTTAAGGTTTTGCAACATTAAATTGTGGCAAACAGTCGCTATAAAGTAGTTATGTAACAGACCAACCATAACCTGTATTACGGGTTGGTTTTTGCTAGTCTATATTAATGATCTTTTAGATAATATTACTTCTAAAGTGGCTCTATTTGACAATAAAACAACTATATACATAACACAACTATATACTGCCTTGAAAAAAAAGTCATTACTTTTTGATTGTTTAGAACAAGCAGCCAATAATAACTAAAAAAAATATATATATATATCAAAATTTGTGTCCATTTTGCATGAACTGTACCAGAATATGAATATATGGAATTTTTAAAAATATAAACTAAACCTTAAAAAGGAAACAGTAGATGACCTTTTTATGTGAAACCAAGGCTCAATCAAACAGTTTTGTTTTAAGGCTCATTTTAAAATTTTAAAACAATTTTAAAATGAGCCTTAAAACAAAACTGTTTAACTATAAAACAAGTTCAGCAAAATACTATGAAAATATGGAGTTCAATCTTGGGTCACATTTAATCTTTAGATCTATTGAATTAGTAACAACACAGCCAATCTCAGAACTCTACCATTTAGTGATAGTGGTACAATGTTTAAAAATAAATAATCAAATACAAATGAAGAAGATAAAACAATTTATTTTTATTAAAAAAGAAAACAATATTGTAGTCATAAATAAATATGCTCTTAAACATAAACTTAAGTGGAAAAATTTGAGATTTGATAAAAAAAATTAAATATCAAAAATATAGTATAATTTAAAAAAACTACCTTAAGCTGTTGAGATTTCAAATTTAGATGTTTCCATAAGTCTTCCGTTGTTTTTTTTAAATTGTCATTTGTCACATTCAATCGCCTAAAATATAAAAATTATTCAAATTATTGTTACAACATCAACAGCAAAGTCAATTAAAAGCAATACATAACACATACTTATTTTGTAATTATTTAAATTTTACTTTGTAACTCTGAATAAAGAATCTAGTAATATTGTTAAATGAAGGATTTTATTTTTTAGGTGAAGGATATCATTTTTAAGGTGAAGGATATTATTTAAGATATTATTCTTAGGCAACAAATTTAGAATTTCACAGAAGCAAACAACTTCTAAAATACTCTCACATTTAGATCGTATTTAAACGTAATACTTTACAAGTGATAATAAATCTATAACACAACTCACAGTTTAGTATTAGTAAGTGACTGGGGCCCTGGCCCCGGCTAAAAATGAGATTTATTTCAAACCCAGCCCCAGTTAAACTATAAGATTTAGCAGGGGTTAATAGCCAAGGCTAGAAAAAAATTAATAATACTTTATATATTATAATTTTATGCTTACATTTATTATTTATTAAATACTGGCAAATATTTATATATTTTCAAACTCTATTTTACTTCCAAAAAGATTGCAAGCAATCACTATTAAGTTATGAGTTACTTTAAAGTGGAGAATAAGTAAAAATACTAAGAAATGGTTAACTGAAGACTTAAAAAGTTGTAGGTTGTATATAAAAGAAAAACATGAAGATGGCTAACAGTTACAAAGTTTTTTTAATGAGCAAGAAAAAAAACTGGATTAATAAAAGTTTTTATAGCATGAAGAGACAGATAATGTAAAAGGATGCAACTTGTTGAATAAGAAACAAGCAAGAATGAGTTTTGGATTATCGTAATAAAGATGATAGCTTGTTTGAGCATTGACAATTTATTATTCAGCTCCCTAAGGCTAAAAACGCCACTACAGACAAGGAGGCTACTAATTGTGGTTATAGCCCTCTCTCAACTATATAACTCCAAAACATGAACCTTGACAACCTAGGATGTTGCGCAGAGAAACAAGTTGAGTGCAGAACACCAGGGACGGGGTGGGGATCAAACTTGATACCTCTTGCTTATGACACAAGTGCTCTACCACTACACCACAACCGCTTAACAATTTCAATGCACTTTTATAATTTGTCTGAGAGTACGAGGGTTGTTATTATTCATCAGTATACAAATACCAACAGTATTGTTATTTTTTTGCAGTAAATAAGTTTTGTTGTCTAACAAAAATTGCAGATTTTAAATCCAGAATTTAAATCCATAAGCCACAGTAAACCTTAGTAAGCCACAGTAAGCCTTGGTAAGCCACAGCTTAAGCCTTAAGCTGTTAAAGAAGAGAGATCAGATTAAAAATCAGCTGCTTGTTCAAAGCAATCAAAAAGTTTTTTTCAAAGGTCAAAGGATAAGAGTAAAAAGTAATAGAAATAGAGCAGCTTTAGATGTTAAATTTTCATGAAGATTGATATTGTATATAAGAAACAATACAGAAGCAAAGATTTTGAAGCAAAGATACCTTGTGGAAACTTAAAGTTACTTGAAATAAAGAAGAGTGTAGGCCTTCAAGAATAACTTTATTTCTGCAGTTAGTAAGAAATAATTTAATAATCTCAAAACCTTTTATATAAAGAAACTGATAACAGAGTGAAGACCAATCGTAGGATAGTTGGAGAAGTTAAAGTATTTTCTAGAGTTTTGAAAAATCATTTATATAGTACTTTTTAAAAATTAAATGTTATTAAATATTATATAATTAATAGGATTAAATGTCAGACTTTCTTTAGTTAATGACGTTGTTGAAGACTAACCAAGAGTCTCTAGAATCTAATACCTGATACAAAATACAAGATTTAGTAAACTGAGAATAACAGAGCTTAACATCAGACAGGACCTTTTACATTGGCTTCTTGGAATAATAAAAGAACATTTGTTCTTAAGAGAGATGTTCTTGTAAAAAAGATAAAATAAATTATTAATAAAGCAACTGCTTATGATGGTGAAAAATATAGAGTAGAATGAGGTTTGACTTAAAATTGAAGAGTAGGAATAAAAGCTTCCAAACTTTTATTCCAGAAGGAACAAAAGTTTCTGAGATGCGCTTTATGCATACATATTATGGACATAAACATATGTTTGCTATTTATTTAGATGCTGGCATATATCTTTCATATTTAAATAAACTTTAGTATTTATATTTATAAACTTTAGTATTTGTTGAAAAAGAAGATGATTATGATGATGATCATAATAATAATGATGATGGTAATGATGATCATTTTGATAATAATGATGTTTATATATGCATATATATACAAAATGTAACATGAATTTTGAATAAAAAAATATACTTTAGGATGTATAAATAATTATGAAGCCCCGGTCACAAATCCGGCCCCGGCTATATTTTATCAAACCCAGCCTCGGTCAAATATCAACCCCAGTCATTCACTATTTAGTATGAAAACAAAAGTTCAATTAAAAAATAAATTATAAACAATAGAATAAAAAAAGGTTACATTATTTGATCTTTTAGTTGAATTGACTCATTATTTATAGTTGCATGCTCTTTTTTTTTATCTTCAAGGATTTGTTTATACTTTGCACACATCTCATCTAACTCATTAAACCTAAACATTTAAAAAGAGTAGATAATAAAATTCATTCATGTTTATTGTTTAAAAACTTAAACAGTTAAAGCCAATTCTGCGAAATAAATTCAGCTATTTTCCTAATAGGCTATCAATCATGGTTATGGACAATCGGCCATGATTACTCCAGTTATATCAATATTAAAATTAATAATAAAATTAAAATTGATTTGAAAATAATATCAAAACATCAATATAAACACTGATAAAAACTTTTTTAATTGACTAAACAAAAGTGTCCTAACTAAAACTACTTTTTAGAAATTAAAAAACTTCTTCTAGTGATATATTTCTTGCATCCAAATTGCAACAATGATAATCTGGTCATTAGGAAGCTCACCTTTTAAAAAAGAAAAAAAAAAAGATTATTAATATCTTTTTTTAACTTTTTTGTTTCTATTTAATGTCTCAGACAAGTTTGTTCAAAAAGTGTATAGGATCCAATATCTAAGAAACTTTTTCAGTTAAATATATTTAATATACAAAAATAATGTAATGTATGATAGAATGTATTATAATACAATTAAAAGGTAAAAAATTTAATAAATAACAATAAACTAATTATTATTCAAAATAAATTATTTTAATAACTTTTTTTAAATCAAACAGTCATATTTTCTATTTTTAGATTCTTTCTATTTTGAATGGCAAAAAAAGCATATTTTATATATGCAAAATTGATCATCAATTTATATATAAAAAAAGTAACAAAAATTTCTGAGAAATTTTTGAAATAAATTGTTTATAGGTATAGATAGTTGTACTATAGGTATAGATTATTAAAATTTAAGTAAATATATTTGTGTAAGCTTGAAAGAAAACTTTACCTTTCTAATTTGCTAGTTAACTTTTGATTTAACATGTTAGCATTATGGAAACTTGCATTCATTTTGTGCATTCTGTCATGAAAGTCCCTATAATTTATAATTACAAAGAAAATAAACCAATTTAATAAATAATTAAATAGATAAAAAAACCAATTTAATAAATAATTAAATAGATAAAAAAAGCAAATACACTTTATAACTACGCAGAAAATAAACCAATTTAATAAATAATTAAATAGATAAAAAAATAAGCAATTGTTAAAAAAAAAACAGTAAATAATTGTTCAAAAAAAATTTTATATAAAATATTATGAATAAAATTTATAACAAACTTTTAAAATGTAAAAACTTAGTTAAAGATATAAAGAAGTTTGATTAAGTCAATTAAATAATGAAAATATTTACACTAACTAAACACTAATGTACACTATTACAGGAAAGACTGGCTTTAACCAACCAAGCTCTTCGTAAACAAGGTGCCATTAATACAACTTTAGAAGGTGCCTATGTCACCACATCAATTCAGGCTGCAAGCACTGAATTGATGTGGTGAATTGAAGCATGAAACTCCTTTTAACATAGAATCAACATCTTTTAAGTACCTCCAAAACTTTATTTTAAAACTCACAGATCAATGAAATTTTAAGTTTAACCTGAACAGGACAGAGGAAACCATTTGGTACAGTTTTGTTACAGCTGTTTGTGGCTTCCTGGATAGTCACAAGACTGAAAACTATGCAAGTTTTTTAAAGTCTCATAAAGAATACACTAAAATGGGATGCAGAATCAAAGCCTATATTCTTGATCAAGAAGAACATTATTCAAAGAAGCAAGATAAATGTTTTCATTAAGATAAATTGGACATCATTATCAAGGACAGTATAACAAAAGGCTGATGAGGGAAATTTATGAAAGTGATTTGTAGAATACTTGCAAATCTAAAATGTTAATTTCGGAAGATTTTTGAGTGATTTATTACTGACTTTGTCTATTGAATATGCAATTGTTGGTTCTTACCAAACCAAATAAACAAAAATACGAAATTTTTCTTGTTCTTTCCTAATAAAACAAAAAAATGTTCTTTGTGCTATGGTCATAACATTTGTTCAATGTTTTCCCACAGTTTTTAGTCATAGGCAAATGGAACACTTTGAATTCAGGGACTAAAATTGTGCTAAATAGTGTATTAGCAAGTAAAACATATAGCATTCACACAAACACACACACACAAACTTATCAATCATCTTTTTCATATCCATTTCAAATAAGTTATTTGGAATGGATATAAAAAGTTATTATGACTATAGTAACTTATAATATAAAAATATAAAATTATAATAAAAATAGTTAAAGTATACAAAAAAAAATATCTTAAATTCAAACATTTTTTTTAGTTAACACAGATTGTAACTGTAGTTAAATGGTATATTTAAAAAAACATTTTCAAAGTAGTTACTAATATATTTGATTAAAGTAGCATGCATCTTGAATTCCATAACAATAGATTCAATATCCTAATTCATTTTTTTCCTAAGATCACTTTGTTGTTTGAAACTTTTTTAAACATTCAAATATTGGTAATAAGTCAAGTTTTGCTTAATCAGCAATATTTCAAGTATAAATATTTAACTTATCAAAAACTATGTTAGCATTGTTGTTAGCATTATTCTGTTAGAAATGTTGCCATAAAATGCTTTAGTAGCTACTTTCAAACCCAAGACACTTTCTTAAAAAATAAACATAATATTTTTTTGACACAGTAATAGTATTTATGTAAAGATTTTATTAACTCCATAATTGCTCAAAAAGATAAAAATCAGCATGGTTTGAGTAGTAATTGTGAATTAAGTAATACAAAAAATATATATGACATCAATCTTACAAACATTGACCTCTTCAACTTCAACTGTTGACTATTTGTTATCTGAAATTTTCAGCTCTTTGGGCAAGTTGGTACTGAAACAATTTTATTATCTTTTCATTTAGATTTTGATCTTATTAAAGAAATTGTCATAAATTTTAATTTGTTGTTGAATTTCATTTTCAAATGAAACAATACATCAACCTTTTATTTTTACTATTGCCACCAACTTCAAAATTGAAACCAACATACTAGAGTATATATTTTTCTGAATTCTAATATTGTATTAATAATCATTTTTAAAGTGATTGTACTAATATAACTGATCTTTATGAACAAAAATGTTTAGGATCTTCATACTATTTAAAAGTCTCTAGAACTGACTTCACACTATTTAAAAGTAGAATTAAAAGATTTAAAAGTAAAGATAGTTAACAATAAGTGAAATTAAAAGATTTAAAAGTAAAGATAGTTAACAATAAGTGAAATTAAAAGATTTAAAAGTAAAGATAGTTAACAATAAGTGAAATTAAAAGATTTAAAAGTAAAGATAGTTAACAATAAGTGAAATTAAAAGATTTAAAAGTAAAGATAGTTAACAATAAGTGAAATTAAAAGATTTAAAAGTAAAGATAGTTAACAATAAGTGAAATTAAAAGATTTAAAAGTAAAGATAGTTAACAATAAGTAAAATTAAAAGATTTAAAAGTAAAGATAGTTAACAATAAGTGAAATTATTTTTCATTCTAAAATTTAAAACTTAGGTTACTCAGAAATACAAAAAAAAAACAAAAAAAAAAAACAGTTTTTTTTGTTGGTGGACAAACAAACTGTTGGTTTTTTGCTAACAATGTAAGATAAAATATAACATATATTTGTAGTGTGTTAAAAATTTATTTACATTAATTGATTATGTTTATACTCTACTTCCTTTTTGGCATTGATACATTCTTGAGTTTTTTCATCAAGTTGACACTTGAGTTTGTCACAGATTTCTTCTAACTCTCTTATCCTGAAAAAGTTGAAAAAGTTGAAAAAGTTAACGAAAAAAAATTAAAAAACAAAACAAACAAAAAGCAAAAACAAATATGAGATTATCAAAGAAAAAAACAATTAAAAGTATTTAAAAACAAGTAAAACATATTTATATTAAAATGCAAACTTTATTGACTCATTGATTATTATATCAAGTGTAATTAAATGTGTGAGGCATTATGAGATGTTTTGGTAGTATAAAAAAATAAATATATATGACAATATCACACAAAAATCCTTTTTTTATGTTTTGAGTAAAACATTAAAATTATCATTTTCGTAAAACATTAAAATGGAATATTATATTTACATAAATTTTTATTAATTGTGTTTATTTGTTAAGGTCTTGAAAGATTTTGACTTTCTATCAAAAATTTAGATTCAAACAGGCTTGGTCGGGAAGCGGGTGCGATAGCACTCGATAACTGACCACAGAAATAATATTTAATTGCAAAAAACCGGCCAGATTTTTTAGTTCCTCAAGCTTTTAATATTTGAATATTCCTTTTATTTTTTCTAGATTCTTTTCTACTTTAATTATTATTTGGAATTATTAATGTTGTTTGAAGAGAGAATTAACTCTAAAAGTAATAAGTGCTTTTTAAAAGTAATAACGCTATTATAGTTTTATTACTTTTATAGTAATAAAACTATAATAGTGTTATTACTTTTAGTAAATTAAGCAGTTAGTGACGAGAATATTATTACTTTTGTAGTCATAAGTTTATTGTTTGTTTTGTTTTTATATTTTTCTCTCTAACAAAATTATAATAATTTGCTCCTTGAAAACAAAGTACACAGCTTTGCATAAACTAAAATTTTGATGATCAGATATTTTTCCAGGGTTTGCAAACCGCAATCGCTAGATTCAACCCTTGATATATACTTGTTACATTAAAATTATAAAAATTTATTTTACAAACAAATGACAATTTATATTTTCGCTTTCCCCTTTTTAAAAAAAAAAAACAAATATAGGAAAATCATTATTTTTAATATTTAAAACTTATTTTTTTGCTTTGACTTACCGATATTTGTTGTCGAAAATAATAACCACTATGAAGAAACAAAAATAAAAACAGTACACAAATTATTTAAATTATTGTTATTGTTTTTTATTTAAGTCTATTTTAAATTTCTACTTGTATTTTGTTTTTAAAACTTTTATCAGCAACGCATATGAAAAAAAACTTGCAAACAGCTATGACCAAGTTGTCTAAAATAAAATACTCATGCATGGTCATACAAGACAAAAAACCCCACGCTTTTCCTGGGAAGGCTTGTTATGGGTAATTTTGAAGAAAAATGCCATATATCATACAATGGAGTCAAGCCAGTATTTTACAAAAATTATTTTGATGACATTTTTGCTTCATTTCCATCAGAAAATGGTTTTTCTGCATTTTCTTGACTATATCAATAAAAGATGTAATTTAATATCTTTTACTATGAAAAAGGAAAAAGAATGCAATATCTCTTTCTTGAACATTAATATTAATAAGGAAAATTTTTTATGTACCTCCATTTTTTATAAGGAAATATATTTAGGCCTTCATATTTCCTTTAGTAGTTTCATCTCTTTTTAGCACAAGGAAAATTTAATAAAATGCTTAACTGAAAGAACCTTTAAAATTGCTTGGTTTTGACATTAAAAAGCTTTTTAACATAAATTGTGTCCCATCAGACATTTTCAAAAAATTTTGTTTTAGAACCACCCTAATATATATATATATATATATACATATATATATATATATATATATATATATATATATATATATATATATATATATATATATATATATATATATATATATATATATATATATATATATATATATATATATATATATATATATATATATATATATTAGGGTGGTTCTAAAAACAAAATTTTTTGAAAATGTCTGATGGGACACAATTTAAATGTGTTCTATGTAGTAAACCAATACTACATTTAAAAAATTTTGGTATAAAAAATATTTTTAGGGGTTGCACAATTTAAAATTTTCATAAAATTTCAAAAAATGTTGTTTTTAGAACTACCCTAATATATATATATATATATATATATATATATATATATATATATATATATATATATATATATATATATATATATATATATATATATATATATATATATATATATATATATATATATATATATATATGTATGTATAAAACAGCATGTATCCAACTTGGCTTATAAATAAAATCTATAATTCTTATCTTAACAAAAAAACTATTTCTACTAATCAATACGAATCTGAAAATTAAGAAATCATGAAAAACTACTTTGCGCTTCCTTGTGTTGGTAATATATCTGATCAAAAAAATTTTGGTTTGATCATTAAAAAATCATTAAAAAACATTGTAAACCTATAAACTTTAAATAAAGTTTTACCTCCTTTAAAACTTCTAATATGTTTTCACCAAAGGATCCTCTTCCTGTAGAGTTCAAATCAATTGTTAATCCATTAAACTTGTATGCAAGACAATTGTTAATCCATTAGACTTGTATGATATACAGGCAAGAAGTTTGCCTATATAACAGGAATTACATCCTGTAATTCCTGTTATATAGGCAAACTTCTTGCCACCTCAAAACACAAATGGTTTAACACTACAGGAGAGACAAAAACTCACACTTATACAAACATCTTCATGCTAACAATAATAAATTTAATAATTATAATAATAATAATAATAATTCAAATGCTGTTGAGCACTAGGCAATATCTATGACAGCCAACATAATAGTTGTCTAAAAATTTAACCTGTTAAATTAAACCTGTTTTTCTTGTTCAATATTATCTGCAAGTCAATCAGCTTAAGTCTGGATTCAAACTCTTTGACTGATGTAGACAGTACTACCGATTCCGGTAAATTATTCCATCAAATGACAACCATGTTTGTAAAGAAGTGCTGTCTACTAACCATGTTTGTAAAGAAGTGCTGTCTAAAAAATTTTTAACAAACTCTGATTTGACACGATATTTATAATCTCTAATATTGGATCCTGGACCTGGTGTATTGATGGAATGCATTTGTATCTGGACTTTCTTCATATCAATAGATTCAAAACCTTTATACTATTTATATTGTTGTCACTTCTTAGTCTTCGAACTTCTAAAGTTGTTAAATCTAATATTTTTAGTCTTTGATTATATCCCAGATGTCTTAATTCTGGTATCAACTTAGTTACTCTTCTTTGAACTATTTCAAGCTCTTTGATATCTTTTTTATAATATTTCAAGGGATTCCAAGCTTGAACCGCTAACTCCAAACGAGGTCTAATGTATGTACAATTAAGCATTTTCATTAGGTACTTATCTTTATACCTAAAAGTATTATTTAACATTGCAATCATATTTTTTGCTTTACTGGCAGCATTCCTTACTTGTCTTTCCCATTTCAAATCCTTGGATATATAAATACCTAAATCTTTTTCGAGAGTATTTTTAAATTTTTTTTAGTTCACCATCATTTTTTCATGAAATAAGAATACCTTTTATTACTTGCATCAAAATGCATCATTTTACATTTCTCAAATTTCAAACCCAGTTTCCATTTAACAGACCACTCATCAAGTTTTTTTATGTCATTTTGAAATGATTTTGAATCAACCTCGAAATAAATAAGAGCAATTATTTTATTGTCATCGGCATACAAACAACATTTATCAAAAAGTCTGCTTGGTAAATCGTTTATGAATGTATAGAAAAGGAGTGGGCCAAGTACAGAACCCTGTGATACTCCACTTAACATATCAACCCAATTTGCCTTGCATTTTCCCATCACTACTCATTTTCTATTCAATAAGAATGATTTAATCCATTCAAGAGGCATACCAACAATACTTGAAAGCATAAACCTTAGCACATAATTTTATGTGTGATACTCTGTCGAATGCTTTTCAAAAGTTGGTATACAAAAATGTCAATTGGAATACCGTTTAATAATGCACTTGTTAAGGTATCAAGAAATTCTAGTAAATTCATTGTGCAGCTCTTACCTTTCAAAAAGCCATGATATTCTTTTGCTAATAGCAAAGGAATTGTTTGTTATTAAATGCTTGATTATATTATTGTTTGTTATTAAATGCTTGTTTGTTATTAAATGCTTGATTATATTATCAGCAGCTATTCTTTTTAATATTTTGCATGATATTGATGTCAGAGATACTGGTCTGTAATTTGTTGGCTTCAACTTACTCCCTTGTTTCAATATAAGCGTTATATTAGCCTTCTTCCAAATATCAGTTACAGTACCATCTTCTGTAGACTTTTTAAATATTGAATAAAGAGGATATAAAATTGATAAACTGCATTATTTTAGAACAAAAGAATGTACTAAAATCTTAATATATCAAAATTGATTTTAATATATTAAGAGGCTTTAATCTTCTTTTTATATCATTTTGTGTTATCTCGACAGCTTCTAATATTGTGTTTAGTTGATAGTTTTTAATATTTTTGTTTACATCTGTATCTTCTACATGTACAGAATGGAAATATTCATTAAATTCTTCAGCAATATCCATTTGACCAGTGACAAGTTTTCCGTCACTGTTCTTGATCGATGTAATTTGTTTTTTACCAATTTTTTCTTATTAATATATGTATAAAGTAACTTCAGATTTATTTTACAATTATTAACTCACTCTTAAAGACTTGATGTTTTCCTTTATTTTGTTTGTGATTTCAATTTTGAAACGATTATATTGAGTTTGATTTGATTCATGTTCCAAATTTGTTGATTTATTTAAAAGTCACATTTTATTTTTTAACTTATACCGCATTCACACCAAAATTAAAACCAGTTTAAATAACCACAATTATTAACATTCACACTACTTTTTAAAACCTCGTCTCAAATAAACAAGTTTGAAAAACCGTAGCTGAATAAAGCAATATCACTAAGCTTAAGTAATCATTTCTAAAGAATTCTTTTTACAATAGTGTCAGCAAATTACACAAATGTGTAAAAAATTGCAGTAGTTAAGACATGTGACTTCCTGTAATTTAATTTTTGGTATAAATTGAAGTTTTATTAATTTGATCATTCATTTCTGATGAGTCTTTATTGATGAAACACAGTGTTAAATGAGAAAAAATTTTGCTAAGTGATTTTCTACTAATTTATATATATATATATATATATATATATATATATATATATATATATATATATATATATATATATATATATATATATATATATACATATACATATATATATACATATATATAACGTATAGTTATATACAGTTATATATATGTATACACATATACATATATATATATATATATATATACATATATATATATATATATATATATATATATATATATATATATATATATATATATATATATATATATATATATATATATAACTATATTTATGTATATATATTTATATATTTATGTATATATATTTATATATAACAAGTAGAAACTTTTGAAAAATTTAATTTGCTATATTTTTGTTTTTTACTTGAAATGATAGACTATCTTTATTCCACATACCCTGTTTATTAAAGAGACAGTGTTTTCTTTTTGGTGCTACTTTTGCAAATTTTTTTTTTTTAATATTCGCGAGAAGCAATGTACTGAAAGGTATATTTTAACATCTTTTACAATTAAGTTGTACACATTTCAAATATACATAGCTGTCTATTGATATTGTTGTTTAGCTCTTCTAAGATTACCAAAGGTTTATGTTTTTAAAACTAAATTTGTATTTGTTTTTATAATGATATTTTAACATAGTGAAAGGTTTTAAATTTAGCTAAATTCCTATTACCTTGTAATACCTTTTTCGAATAAAGAAATCCTTACTTTATGAAAAGTTGTGCATTTCAATTATTTCTAATAAGGTTTATACAACTTGAAATGTTTTATTGCTGATCGAATTTCTTCTGTTTCAATTCGAACAGAATTGTTTCTCCTAATGCTTATTTTAACCATTTTAACATCGATACCATACATCTTCGGAGAAACTTTGATTACTGATTTTACAAAAGCTATGAAGAATGCAGCATGCACTTACTATTTTAACAGAATTGTTAACAGATATGTCAATTTGTTTGGAAATGTATTGGAATCTTCTTTTAAGCCTACCAAAAGCATTCTCCACTACTACACGAGATCTACTCAGTGAAAAATTTAAACTTTTTTCTTCCCTTGAAAGATTCCCGCAATCTGAATAAGGTTTCATTAGCTATTCCTCCCAAGAGTATGCAGAATCCCCAAAAATTAAAGGAGATATTTCTTTTCCTGCAATGCTTTTTGAGAAATTATGTGGTAGGAAACTTTTTTGTTAACATTCTAAGAGTCTTCTGAGAGTTTTTAAACACACAAGAGTCGCGAGACTTGCCTGTCCAACCATTGAGTATGTCTTGGAAAAGATATCTGCTGTCAACAAAACCTTGAAGAATAATCAAATGATAATCTTAATTAATCTAATTATATAACATTTTAAAAGTTTGTATTTCAAACTTGGTTTTGTTAGTGTGAATGGAATATTAATTTTTGATTTTAGAGCAGAAGTCATCCACTTTTTTTTATTATTATTAGTATTCGAGTTTTTAATTGCTGGAATATATTCTTGTGACGCATAATTGTAATGTAACAGAAACTATTTATACTGCTCATCGATTAATTTGTTGTTAAATTTGTAATGAGTTTTTAGAAAGTTTAGAATTAATAAGTTATATTTCTTTTTTATTATTTTATTTATTATTTGTTATTGTGCGCTTAACAACGCCAATAATATTATATTTTTATTAACTCATTATTAAATACTTGATGTGATTTTTTTTTTTTAAAGTTTTTAAAAAGAAATTTCAAAAAGTTTTTAAAAAGAAATTTCAAAACAACTTTTATTTTATTTTTAGTTCCTTTTATTTTAATTTGTTCATGTTTTTTATATGTAAATAAATTTAGCAAACTAAATTAAGAAAAATTCACTTTTTAGTATCAATGGATAGCAATTTACAATCGTTAGGTCATCACACATTAATTGTTATTAATTTATGGGCACTTTGCAAATGAGTAAGACAATGTTTTGATGAAATAAAAATTAATTAATTTCAATAAGCATCACTGATATATCTAATAACCTATTAACTAGAATAAAAAATATTTCAAAATAAAACTTTCTTATATGACATATATGAGGCACCTCACAGGAAAAGAGACCAAGTCTTAGAAATGAAGTTATTAGTACCACTGCATAATAGAAAAAAAAATGATCAAAAAGAAAAAAAATTAACTTGATATCTTTATTTTTGACCAAGTTATGGCTTTTTGTGCGGGACAACAACCGGAATAGCGTTATTGAGAAAATTAAAGTTGAAAGTTCGCGTAATTTAAAAATGTTATAAATTCAGTTTGATGAAGAAGTTAGTGATTATTTTCTGTTTTTAAATGCATAATACAGTTTAGATTACTGGTACAAAGTTGCACATTAAATATATTACAATAACTCTTTGAAAATAAAAAAATATAAACATACCTAAAAAAATCAAAGTCTTAACTAAATACAATTTTCTTTATTTGCTTTTCGTTTAGGGCAAACTGGAACTATTTTTAGCATTTTGTTTATATGTCCAACTTGTTTGCAGTAAGAACATGTGGACGGCTTTATTTTAACCGGAGACAAACCCTTCGAAAAATCTGGATTGTCAACCGTTTCTTGAACTATTTTGCGAACATTTGGTGCTCTCACCTAGAAATAAAAAATAATTTAAGTTAATGAAGTTTTTATCGTACAAAACTATTATGTCAAATATATCCATGTTTTAATTCTAATAATGATGGTAGGTTAAAAAATAAAAAACCTGGGCAAGCGTTATCCTGTCAACTTGTGGCTTTGGACATTTAAACCTTTACCGTGTTCTGGGACAAATATTCAGATGCTATCGTACAGATACCATTGTCTTTCTGGTAAGAGAAGTTTAGGCTGTAACATTTGTGGCATGGTAATTTTTGAGATAAGTTGGTGTTGCCATACTTGGAATTCTACCTCTGCACTGTCCGAATTAATCTTGCAAGTAATCACTCCAGGTTTATCAAATTGAAATGTGAAATAGTGCCATTGCTTGAGATTAGGAATCGTTTTGAAATTGGATGAATGATGTTCTTGCCAATCATATATTGGCACCAAAATTGTACCATTCTCATCACCAACAATGACTGATTTATTCAATTTTGAAATCAGAGTACTAGCTTCAATGCATGCGGCAAACTCTTTGACCAAAGCTACTTCACTTCGCTGAAATTTGGATTTTAGAATCCCAAATCCTGCATCTGGAGAGAATTTCGTGTGACTGACAGGCAGGAACATGATAGTTATTTTTTGGTTTAACCCAACAGCTACTTTCCAAGACAAATACTGCGCTACAATTTTGTTTTTATTTTGCCCTACACAGTTGTCAGCATGGCAATACAGTGTAGCTTTGATAGAATATTTATGTTCAGCAAGGTAGTGATGAACCATACTCAAAATACAGTTTGCACCCTTTCCAGTCAACATGTTTTCAGGTATCACATAATTGTGCTGAACACAGACCAATTCATTTGCAATACCAAAAATCCCAACTTTAAACAGAGTTAAAAAATAGATAGGTCCAGGTTGATCTGGCAAATTAGGTAGAAAGATTTGCTGTGCATAGTCAAAAGAAATGTGCGAAATTTCATTTTGTTTTGCCAGTTTGATACTATCGTGATAAACAGAACGCTCTTTTTCAACTAACTTTAGATGTTCCAACATCTCAGTTATACACTCTCGTTTTATTTCTACTTCTAGATTAACTATTTCAGACATATTTATTGTGTTATTTTGACAGAGACTGCATAAGTCCGAGCGCAGACGTTGGATAACAATATAGGGCAAGGCCATTTTCCAGATCTTCGAGAAAGCTAAAAACAGGAATGATTTCAAACATATCTTGTATCTGTGAAACCGATAATCCATCATTGTTTTTGATCGAAGTTCATTTTGATCTTCATAACGATTACAACACATTAGCCTTTTACTCGTGTGAAGCAGAGCACTTAACTGTGCAACAATATTGTCATTCAGTTTGTTTTCGTGTTCAATCATCCCATCAATCTCAAAACATTGTATTCTGTATTCGCGTATTTCTAAATGTGAGAAGCACGCCATACAGTTTTTATTATTTACTCCTTGATGACACCCACAGCCAGATTTTATAAAGTTTTTTATTTTTTCCTCATCTTCATTTTCAAATAATTGTGAATAAAGTGAACGGAGAGAAATTATTGTTTTGCTGGTGTTATTAAGAATGACTATGTCATTTTCGGTTGTTGATTCATCCTGCGAAGTTGAAGCTAAAGGCTCATTCTCAGTCATTGGTTCATCGTGCGAATTTGAGGTTAAATGTTAATTCTCGGCCATCTCCACCTCATCGTCGCTAGATGCTTGGTTGTCAGAAAAGTCAGACATTGAAAAGTCATCATCGGAATCCTTTTCACAATCTCTATATTCAAAGAAATTGTGCAGGGCATCGTTGACTTCTGATGGATCTAAACCATAAGTTCCACAACTATTCAAAAGCTTTGTTATATCAGCATTTTTAGAAGTACTGTATTGACGATTCATAATAACTAAAAACCATAACAATAATAAACAAGTCATTAAAAATTAAATTTAAAGTTTAATTTTATATGAAACTTTTTCCACACCTACCGTGATTCAGCGCTTGTCATTGGTTTGAAATACTAGCAGAATTTTCGCAGCAGATTGTTTATTTGCATAATTATTTTTTGTGCATGAACGTCAAACCATGTGCTTTATTTAAATGCATTTCATTTGAATATAAAAAAACCACACTAACACACAAAAAAACCCACAAGTTTTATGAATTGAGCAGCCTTATAACGTCAGTATTTGATTTTTTTTTCCTAAAGTAGCACCTGTTAGAGGGAATATCAACAAAGGCAAGCATATTTAAAATGATTTCTTATAATTTTTTTATCAAACAATAATTGTTGGTACTATGGTAAAAACTTAACAAAAAGCTTTGATAACAATTTTGGTCATCATACTTAAAAAATAATTTTCAACGATTATTGATCAAAAACAAAAAATACTATATACTGGCACGCTAAAACGTTAATAATATTAATATTATTATTATTATTATTATTAAACCGTTATCAAAGCTTTTTGTTATGTATTTATTATATTATATTTATTATATATTTATTATTATTATATTATATTTGCTTTATTATAGCATAAAAAAATAATCAACTTGGAGTTCTTGACTTCTAGAGGAGAGAACATTTCCAAAACAAGTCTGATGAAGACTTGGTATCTTTTCCACATTTTTTCAAAATGCTTTTTTGAAACTATCAAAATTTTTTTTTACAAAAAAACACCTGATATGTATTGTAACGTGATAAAACTATAAAAAAAAAAAATCTTATTTTTGAATTTTTTGACCTGACTAGCTATTATGTCAAATATCTCCATAACTAGAAACTAAGATTTGGTACCTTTTTTTGTGAGACGCCTCAATTTTTTTTTTTTTAATTTTTTTTATTTTACTTCACTTCCTCAAAGCCGAGAAGGCCACTACAAACGAGGAGGCTACTTATTTTGTGGCTATAACCCTCTCTCAACTCTATAACTCCGAAACACGAACCTTGACGAACAAGGCCACTGCGCGGAGAAACGAGTTGAGCGCGGTACTACCAGGGACGTGGTGGGGATCGAACTCGGAACCACTCGTTTATGAAGCGAGCGCTCTACCACTACACCACTACCACATAATATCTCTTTAATTAGACATCGGCCATTAAATAAAGATACGAATATCAACGTTTATTAAATGAAAACAATTTGTCACGCCCTGAGGTTGTTACAAGTATTAAACAAAAAATTTGTATCTAATAATTAATTTTTTAAATGAATAAACAGATGGCTCTCAAAAAAACCAAAAGCTCTCCTAAGAAGCTGTTTAAAGGAGCAGCTTGCATGGCTCACCATATTTGTTTTAGGAGAGTTTTCCATCGTTCTCGCTCTCATTTACTTCTGCCGAGGCCTATATATATATATATATATTATGGTGGGACATAAAATTTTTTTTTAGAGTTGCTAACCTGGCTATGGTCTAGAAAGTTGTTTTTTTACGTACTAATTTAGGAAAGTATTTACTTTTATGGATTGAAACATGTCTTCCACCCGCAACTTTAATTACAAAAATTAGCAGGCCCTATTATTATTCAAAAAAAAAGTTTTTCAAAATTATGTGATGTAGGTACTCAAATAAAGCAAAATTTTATAAAAATTTCAAAAATTATAATTTTTTCATATAAAAAATATTATTTTAGATTTTATTGCATAATAACTATGGTTATTTAACTAAAAGTAAAAATAGTGCATTTTTTCATGTATTTTAATGACAAATTTTTTCGGCATTATAATCTGATAAAATAAAGCGATTATTATTAACGAATTTGTTTTAAATTTCGCTTCCTTTAAGTACCAGGTTGACCTACTTTTGAAAAACTATTTTTCTCAAAAAAATTAGGGTACCAGTAATTTTCCCAATAAAGTTGCGCCCTTTAAATCACAATCATTCTCATATTTGATAGTATCACTATTAATAACTACTCACAATGTTTAGAGCCTGTAACAAGAAAAAAAAGTTTTCATGACCCACCCTAATATGTATATGTATATATATATATATATATATATATATATATATATATATATATATATATATATATATGTATATATATATATATATATATATATATATATGTATATATATATATATAAATATATATATATATATTTATATATATATATATATATATATATATATATATATATATATATATATATATATATATATATATATATATATATATGTATATATATATATATATATATATATATATATAAATAAATATCCTTATAGTGTAGTCGAAAGAGACTTTTATGTTAAAAAAAGTCTCTTTCGACTACAATTTTTATAACCTTGTCTCTTAAGCTGTATTTGATGGTCATCGAAATGTCAAAGCAATTAAATTAATGCGGAAGTACATTAAATTTTATTGTTTTTAAAAAAAAAACGCAATAATAATGACAAAAAAGTTTTTTTAATTAGTGGTGTTTTTGTTTTTGTTTTATTAAAAAACATTTTTAAAACATGCGTAAGTGTTGCTACATCGACTATCTTATAGCTTGCTGCTACAAGGGAGTGTTGCTACATCGACTATCTTATAGCCTGACTCGCAACGAAGTGCTGCTACATCGACTGACAAATAGCCTGACTTGCAAGGGAGTGCTGCTACATCAACAGACAAATAGCCTGACTCGCAAGGGAGTGCTGCTATATCGACTGAGGGTTTGGTTTGGGCAGGCAGTCTATCATTTAAAAGAAAAAATTTTTTTTAGAAGTTTTTTAATATTTTCTGGTCAGGCTTATTAATGCGCTCTTTAAAACAACAGTTTATGGGAAAAACTTTGCGACTTCCATGCAAGACATATATATATATATATATATATATATATATATATATATATATATATATATATATATATAAAAACTTTCTAGTCGTTATTATTGCGGTTTTTTAAAAAATTTTTAAAAAACAATAAAATTTAATGTACTTCCGCATTAATTTAATTGCTTTGACATTTCGACGACAATCAAATACAGCTTAAGAGACGAGGTAATTAAAATTGTAGTCGTAAGAGACTTTTTTTACATTAAACGACTCTTTCGACTACACTATAAGGATATATATATATATATATATATATATATATATATATATATATATATATATATATATATATATATATATATATATATATATATATATATATATATATATATAAAAGGTCACTGTCATGCATTGAATAGCATTTGGTTCAGTGTGCAGTTATTGTATTTTATATATATTATTTAATTGCCACAAAAAAAAATTTAAAAAAATTATTAATCTTTTTGGGAAATACAAAAGAAAAACTTGCAATTTTCACAGTTAAGTCACTTAAGGTCCGCAAATTAAAAAAAAACACTTTCAGCGTAATGTTGACTAACTTACAAAAAACAACAGTGATTTATAGTTGATAAAAAAATTATTTCCTAAACTAATTGTTATTAAGTGGATACATAATACCTAAATACTAAAAAATAATTAAGTTTACTCATTATGTGAGGCATGTTACGCATTTGATATATTTTCATTATCTATTGTACAGCTATTGTGTATTTAATAACATTAACAGTTTTAACATGTTTTTAATTGGATAAAATAACATAATTATTTGCTCATATCATGTTTTTATTTTTGGACTTGTAAATAAGTAATAATTATATTAATATATAATAATTACATAATAAATATAAATAGGCCTAATATCTAAATAATACATTATGAGTTGTTTATATAATGTTTCTATGTGGATTTATAACACTATTAATTGTTTATTCCATGTTTAAATTTCCAAAATATATTTTTCTTTAATAAGATAAATAGAAGATTTTTGCTTTATTTTTTAATTAAATGATAAATTTGTAAATTTAAAACCCTTTGATTTACACGTAAGTGTTTTACCAACTTACAAACAGCTCATTAAATACTTACAATCACATTATAATTTGAGAAATATTTGTTTAATTGACAGAAAATTGACTCTGTTTTAATTGTGACAAAAGTCAATTTTTTTATCCTATAATAAAAAATAAGCCTTTGAGAAATAAAATTTCCAGAATATTTCTAAAAGTGTTAATTTTAGAGAGCAGATTTGATCTAGAAACCATACACCCTGAATGATCTGTCTGCTTGTCAGTGTGATTGATGACTGTAAAGATAGATAAATATAATTTTAAAATAATTCTTTAAAATGTTAAGTGATAAAGATTTTATATGTGTAAATAGAAATCTATTACTCCATCCAAAACCCCCACCCCAACTTCTAACGTATGCAGAAGCTATACAACAAACATTTTTTAAATGATTTTGATTAAATAGTAAAACATTAAACATGTAGGCGAGCTAGATGTTGGCAAAGTGAGTGCACAATACTAGACAATGTAGTACAAAGTTTATGCAGAAAGTAAAAAAGTAATACATGCAACTTTTTTTACCAGTTTTATTAAACTTCATATAAATGGTAGATTAAGTAAAAGAGCTTTGATTGCTTATCTCTAGTAAAATGACCAAGACTTAATAATTCAATAACTCGTCGCTTTAAAATACTTTCAATTATATAATACCTTTCTTGTTTTAGGTCCCTGTTATGGAAAAAAAAAATTTATAGGACAAAAGATCCAAGATAGGACCAAAAAGAAGTTGGAATTTAGGCAATGTGGACTAAGCAGCAGCAACAAGGGTTGCAAAAAAGTTTTTTAGAGAGAAAAAAGAGTCTACTGGAAAGCAAATTAGACAGAGCAATCTTCAAATAACATCAGATGTTGGTTGAAATGAAAGTTTTAATGTTGTATCATCAAAATTAAATACAGCTAAAATAACGAGTTTGAAGAGCATATAGTTATTAAAAATAATATATAGAAATAATTAATATGGCTAAAACTGCAATATGATATGAAGTTAATGATGCTGGTTCAACTGCAGTCTTTTACAGGAAGTCATGGGATCACATGTCTTTATATAACTAGGCAATTTATATTTTGCTTTGACGATTTGACCGCGGCTAATTCAATAAACATTTTAAAAACTCACTCAATGAAAAATATTCTGAATAAAAAAAAAATATATATATATATATATATATATATATATATATATATATATATACATATATATATATATATACATATATATATATACATATATATATATACATATATATATATATACATATATATATATATATATATATATATATATATATATATATATATATATATATATATATATACATATATATATATATACATATATATATATATACATATATATATATATACTTGTGTTTTTGCTTTTGCATTTTTTTTATTTTCTCTTTCGTTAAGATATATTTTTTTGAAGTTTTTTTT